TTTACTGTTTTACAAATAACAAATAATACAAATCTCAGGTCACGTCCTTCTAATTCCAAAAGCATTCTATTTCTCAGCTGTAGCCATGCTGCAAAATACAATTACGAATCCAATACTCTCTTTTCCATATATTTAACTTTTGATGTTTTGCCCCTAACACACAAACTTAACTATATCATTTTGCCATTGTTTAAAATGGTGCATCAGTTGTCAAAGCAGGTATTGTCTAAAACAAAAATGTCATTCCACACAAGGCATTCATTTTTATCACAGAAATTCTCCCTAGCAATAACAATTGTAGTTTCTCCCATATTAATATGTCTTTTTTAACTTCATTCCATGTTTTAATACTAATACTTAATAAGTGCTAATACTTCTGAGTGTGTCCCCAGATCCAGTTAAGATCCATGATTTAATCTCTGAATTCTAAAATATTAGATTCAGGGTATATAAAAGTATTCCTTGTTCTATATGAAAATGTAAAATAAATTATTACCACAAAATTTGATATACATAAGCGCTTCATATGTATGTGTACGAATGATATTTTATACAACAATTTCAATAAATACTTTCCTAGTACAAGAGAGTGATTATCAGGGTTAATCTGTTTTTCATGCTGGGGTGAAGAATTTTGAAGTATGTTCTTAGAGAAATACATTCACCCCTTTAAGCAGTAAGTAAAGGATGGTCTAATTTGCGCAAAAATATTTAAGATTCGCTCACCGAAACAAATTGCCCACGTTACCACCAAAACCTGGATGCCATTACTAAGCTGCTTCTTTCAAGCATCGTCAGATTTTAAAACAAAGGGCTATTATATCTTTGAGCTAAATTTTTGTGACTTGTGCTAAATTCACTGCTGTGTTTTGCTCTTTGCCTTTAGATCATTGATCCTGAGATGCCACAAGAAGGCCTTCTTCACAACGGAGTCCCGATCCCTGTCCCCCCTCTGGAAGTGCTAAAATTAGGTGAGCAGAAGCAAGCGGAGGCTGGAGAAAAACTTTTCCTTGTCCTTTTCTTTGACAACAAGAGGACATGGTGAGTAAAATAAGCAAATGAAGGGGAACAACTTCTTTTCTTTGGACAATAGAATATCAAGTATTTATTTTCATTAATGTAAGCAAACTTGCTGATGATTGAGGGAAGTTTTGGTCTATGTAACAGAATAGCAAGCCAAGAATTCATTCTTCTTCTAGTGAATCATAAGTATGTCTTCTGTTTGTAACTGCACTACATACTCTAGTTTGTTTTTGCTACATTTACTAACACTTTATCAGGCATTAGTGCAACTTGTAAAAGTCACAGAAGGGTTGATTTGTACAATTTGTAATGCTCTCGATTTCTTAATTGTCTCCATAATAACATTCCCTCCATCTTCTCCCCTCCCTCCCTCCCTCCCTCTCCCTCTCTCTCTCTCTCTCTCTCTCCCTTCTGTAGGCAGTGGCTTCCACGAGAAAAAGTTCTTCCTCTTGGAGTAGATGACACTGTGGACAAACTCAAGATGCTGGAAGGACGGAAAACCAGTATCCGCAAGTCTGTCCAAGTTGCATACGATCGTGCAATGATTCATATGAGCCGTGTTCGGGGAGACCATCCTTTCATCACACCCAATTATCTGTAGGAAACTTGTTCTACCCATCCTATAGGAAGTAATGTCTGCATCTACAGACAAAGTAGATCAACTATGACCTGAGGAATATGGGATTTTCCTGCCTACAAGACGATGCAATTGCCACATTTGCATTCTTAGTAGATACACGGTATTTCCAACAGCAGGAAAAGTTTATGTTATGTACTTGATATGTGCCAAAAAGTCTGCCTGGTTTCTTTCTGAACATGTTTCTCAAAGGATCCAGGACGGAAAGAAGTGATGTAGCAGCTTGACCTAGTAAGAAGATGTCAGGAGAAGCTACACTATAATATTGAAACCCTGGCAGAATCTTAGATAATTTGCTGATTGGACAAGAAGCCCAACCAGACTCTTGAGTTTTTAAACTTCAGCTAGTCCTGAAGCAGCTGTGGAGCTTATTGCTTCTGTTATGAATTGAGGGTCTTTTTGATGACTCTTGTGTGCCAAATGTTCCCTAATATTCACCATATATTTTCAAGTTATTTTTGAAAAACACTGGTCCCCCCTCCCCCGTGCAATTATATTTGCAACCCTGTAGAAATCTCTAAATTTGTATATGTTTTTATGTTAGAGATTACAATTAAAGAAAGAAAGAATATTTTGGGGTAATGCCCCTTTCCTGATTTTGCCTCACGCTCACATTCACAGAGCTTTAAATATGAAGAAACCCCTAGGGAGATATTTTCTGTGATTTTTACATTTCAATTTCAGATTCGTATACTTCTGAAAATTGATAAAGTAAATATTTTAAATGTTATTTTACAAATACTTATGCTGCTAGAACATTGTTGCTAGATATGAAGGTTTATTGTGAAATGAGGAAAAAGCAATCTTTATGGTATCGAAAACATTTCCCCACCACCACCACCATTGCCCCCGTTCATGAACAATGGCACTGAAGCCCTGTCTCACTCGTCATGCCTGTTCTTCAGAAAATCACAGCATCCTGTCCATTCTGTAGGAGTTCTAGACATGGAAGCAGCCCCTTGTTTATTTACAAGGGAGCATGCATAAAAATCTCTTCCTTATATGCATCACCTTATTTAGGTTTGGGCCATTAAGCATCACATTGACATTTAGAGTTTTTTTCCCCAGCTTTCAGTAGTAAGTATCTGCTTATATAGCGTGCCATATGTACTTTGACGTATGCAGCGCTGGACTAGGGCAATCATGTAGAATCATGATTCCTCTTTACCTGAAGAAATGAGAATTAAATTGGAATGTGTTTGTCATGTTATTCACCAGAATTCCCTACAGTCACTCTTGACCACCCCGTAAACACTTCAGGGTTTGCTTTCATACTCTCTGAGCTTCCATTATTGGGATCTGTTAAAAATACAGCACAATCCTTTGGAGAAACCCTTTTTTTAAAAAACTTGCATACAAAAAGAGGAAGAGCTGAACCCTGCAAGTTGACAGTGCATTTCATATTTGATTTTGTGAAGTTTTTTTTTTCCTTTAAGAATTTCAAACCAAAGGCACAGAGCAAGATTGTAATTTGAAAACCATTCTCTTCCCCCGCCCCCCTTTTAAACTTTATTATTGTTGTTATTTTCTTATTAAGAGATTATGGGACAAATGTTATTGTGCAAAAATCACTGCCATTTCTAGTGGTCTTTTTTCAAGAACCACATCTTATACATTGGGACATAAAAACACACTATATAGGAAATATCTATAACATAAACAGAACATGAATAGGAATCTTTTTTTAAAAAAATAGTTAATATCTCAAGAGTGTGGTTCCAGAAGGAACTTTTGTATATAATTGTAAACTACTGTTCTAAATTATTCAGGCCAATTGTTAATCTTTAAGTCCTCAGTTGTGTTGCTGGGTCTTTTGTATGCATACATAATTAATTTAAAGAAACATACATTTTCCCAGATTGTAGCCTGGCTGTGGACTTGTGATTTATGTTTAACTATTTTAAGATCTTGCATTTTAATTTCTTCCAATTTTTTCAATTACAATTTAAGGATTTGAATTGGCTAATATCCTGCTGTTGCTATGGGACCTAAACGTGACTTGTCAGTCTGCTGTAAAGCACAGATGGCTCTATTTATTGTAGAAAGTGAGTTTATTTGCTTTCTAGAACTGTTTATATCAGATGGAATAAGAAGTAATTAAATTCTATGCTTGTAAAGAAAAATGCTAATTTTACCTACTATAATCTGACTGTCTGAAACTATATTTTCTCTCTGAGAAATAAATGTTCTAATGTAAAATATCTGATTGGACTATTTTAGCGGGGGAAATTTCTCACTTGAGTTGGACTCTGAAATGAAATGATTTGTGTATTTAGATGATTTCTGAATAGCTGCTCTTGAAAACACCATAAGCTATTTCAAAGTGCTTTCCTGTTTCCAGATATACTCTCTAGAAAACCATAGGGTGTGGAAAAATGATCCCCAAGCACAAACAAAGCTGTTGTAACTTTATAGATATGTTGATGTACTTCCACACTAGAAGAGCTGCATGCCAAAGCAACTTTGCCAGTGAAATAGCCAAATATAGGATCATAATTTATAGTTGGGGCACAAAAAGGGCAGTTATATGCCAAATTGATAAACATAATGCATACTGATTTCTGAAGAGGTCAGCTCAAAGAACTTACTTTGCCCATGAGTATTTTAATTTATCAGAAGTTAGTACACGAGATCGCCTCGCCATCCACATTGGACTGTTCCAAGATGGAATATATTAGGGAGGAAAGCCACGTATCTTGTTAAAAATCTTACCTTGGGACTAATCTTTATCCTTTCTGTCCATATCAGTTCGGGCGATTATGAGAGAACAGGCCTTTGAGAAGGATGTTTATGTTTTCACTGTATTCTATATGCAAACCTCCAACTACTGGAGTTTTCAGGTCTCGTATTATACTGCTTGTTCTTCCATTTCCATTTTTCAATCCAAAGGAAATATGCATGGGCTGGGATGAATATAAGTGTGAAGTGATACTATATGGGGGGGATTATACTATACATTATATAAATGGTGGGACAGGGAAACCCCATGTTTGCATCTTGAGTAGCTTTACATTTTCTTTGATTCTCAGGCATAGGAATACGTACCTGTGATTGGTTTACACTGATTATGTTTTTATGTTGGATGTCATTTTTATTTATTTATTAAGGCAATTTTTGCGACCAACCAATTCACTCATAGTGGACTCCAGGTCTTACAAAAACCCCAGTACAAAATCCAATAAACCCTCATCCCCCTGGCAAGAACAATTAAACCAACCACCCTGGGGTCTCCAGGCCCAGTGGCAAGACCAGGTCTTCAGGGCCTTTTGAAAGAGTGCCAAGGTGAGGACCAATTTTATTTTTGTAACGGTGATGTTCCACAGGGAGGGAGCCACCACAGAGAAGGCCTTTCTTGGTTCTACCAGTTGGACCACCTTAAGCAATGCTGTCACTATTGCTCTGTTCTGGGATATTACTATTGAGGAAGAGTTTTACTGGTGCACGGCCACTAGGATTGCTTGACCTCTTGACTGAATACCAACCTGCTTTTCTCCTATATACACTTTCCAATTTGAAAGATTTTATCTTTTCAAAAGAATTGTTTTCTTTCTATACTTCTAAAGATAATTTAATTCTGTGTTAAATTCTGCAAGGATCTAATACATAGGTTCATCATCGGGACTGTCAGCGTTGATCTCACAGAAGAATTTGCTTAAATTGGCGCTCTGGGTGCCAGCTAGTTCCCCCTCCTCGTTTAATTGCAGTTTCAGAATAACTCTGCAGGCTTGGATCTGCACTTCTTCCTCGGGATGAATGATGAGGGAGAGAAGACAATCAGCTAGCCGGGAATTGTCTCCAAAAAGGACCTCATGGAGTGACAACTCATTGTATTGCCAGTGCCCCGATTGGTAGTGGGGAGTCAGGCGGCCCTCGCAGAGCCGTTCCACGAGCACTAGCAGCTCAAAGAGCAGGCTTCCAAGCTGGGAAGGTTGGAACAGGCTGAGGAATTCTGGATGCACCTTAAATAAAAATGAAATGAAATGAAAGCCTTAAAGAAAAAGATAAAACAGACTGTTCATGTCCTACTGGCTAATGGATTTCATCTTTTGAAGGTAACAGGACTTCAGATTCTTTTATAAGAAATTATCTCATGACAGGAAAGATGTATTTTGTTTTCTGAAATCTGGCATACTCCTTGCTGGGATGCAATCCCTAGAATGTTCAGGTAGCAATGGGAATTGCAATGTCAGCATGTTTGGAAGATACACATTATGCTATATTCCAATTACATATTTGTTTATGTCTTGTTTGATTAAATAACTCATTAAAAGCTACTTTTGATCTCAAGTATTTACTTCCTGTCCCAAATATCCCTCTGGGAGTAGGGAGGAAATCTTTACCTGGCAATTCATAATATCAAATAACAGTTCTTCCTTCTGGGCTAATGTGCTAAGGAATTTTAGAATCTGCACCTGAAAAAAAAAAACACAAAAACTTTCAGGCCATATAATCAGTAAAGGTAGGGTGCTTATGTATACCATGGCTTCATTATGCCCCCCACCCCCCCCCCAAAAAGCTGACATTAGGAGCTTGGGTTTAGAGCAGGGGTGTCAAACTAATGGCCTGGCAGCATCACATGACATATCGGGACCTTCCCCTCCCTTTGCTAAACCAGGCATGGCCAGCGTGTGACCTATCTGGCCTGCGGGCTGCAAGTTTGACAGCCCTGGTTTAGAGCAATATGCTCTAAACCAGGGGTCCCCAACCACCGGGCCACGGACCGGTCCCGGTCCATGGAACATTTCCTACCGGGCCGCCGGTTTGCTGGATGCTGCCATCTTTTTTGATGAGAAAGTGCTTCCGGGTGAGCTTTTCTGGTTGGAAAGCGGCATTTGGGTCCTGAAGGAATCCTCGTGCCTTAGTTTCATTGAAGGGGGGGGCTTCGAACGAAACTAAGGCGCGAGGATTCTTTCAGCACCCAAGGCAAGGCGAGCCGAGCGACCGTCCTGAAGCCGTCCCGAAGCGAAGCCCATCGACAAAGGTACAAAGGAGGAGTTGAAGGTGGTGGGTAGAAGCGGGGGACGGCTGGCTGGCCGGTCGCTTGGCTCGCCTTGCCTTGTCACGCGTGCTGATGCCGGTACCGGGCCGTGGATCATTTTGTGATGCCGGTACTGGGCCGTGGCACAAAAAAGGTTGGGGGCCACTGCTCTAAACAGTTCATGAACCATAGTACCTGAGCCAAATTGGTCCCCATCTGCAGAATGTCCATTAAGATGGGCAAGAGCTTTTTCAGGAGAGGTTGCATGTCATTTGGCCACGGCAATCCATTCAGTAATCTTAGTCCAGCAACATGTATATCGGTATCCCATAATTCAGTGATAATTTCAAGAATCTTCGGCATGAATTCCTGCACAGAACAAAACAGCATTTTTTAAAATTTGGAATAATTGGGCAGAAATCCTTTGTTTCAGAGGTGTGCTGGGCCAGAGGCTTCATTGCAAAAAGTAGTGAGTGACGTCAGAACACAAAATGAAACTGGATTCATTTCATTTACATTCTAATTAAATATAGTTAATATGATTACCCTCAAGCCATGCATTTCATAATTTCCCCCTTCAATCAGATTAATAATTACAATTTGATAACACTTAGAGCTTTCTGGGGATGCTGCATGCACTGTTAGTGAGCCTCAGGTAATTTCTTACTAGGTATCATTGCAAACATCATTTGTATAAGAACTGATGCTTTCATTTTTTTCATTTTTTGTTAATCATTAAAACACTAATATTTTACCATAAATAATGATTTTTTAAAAAGGATTTTCTTTTCCAAAAACAGAAAAAACATAAACACACTGGGTGGTTCATTTTGAGGGCTCTAGTAGCAGTGTTATAATAAATCTTATTCTTTAAATTGTTTCATTGATTAATAATTATTTAGTATTCCAGATGAGAATTAGATTAAAATATAAATAGAACAATTCTTGAACACTAGAGAGTATCACGGGAATAGTTTTAATTTCAGGTGGGAAACAAGCCAAGAAAAGGAATTTATTTCCTGTTCTTTGGGAGGAAACATTTTTACCCACTCTTGGTTTCACCTTCTGGAGAAGAGAAGTAGTATCCTTCTAACACCAGCTTCTGAAGTTGAGTTTAGAAAAAGAAGGGAAGAAGAGATGGAATCCCACAGGAGGAATGTAGCATCTTGCAAAGTCATCTGTTCTCCATCATAGTTTGATGATGAAAGGAAAGGAGAGATTTCTTGGAGAACTCAAGAGCTCCTTGAAATGACACTAATAGCAGTGTTTTCCCACTTAAGTGTAGCACCAGTGTCTCCATTAAGCCAGATAGGAAACACAAGTGCCAAGACCATGTAAAATAAAGCCATTAGCAAACAACTACAAACTCTTGCAGGCTCTGAAGATATGCAGAGTATTAGGAAGTTACAGGACTTCCTGTTCTTGAGAGAAGCTGCAAAGATAATAGCTGCTTAGGGTAAACCACAGTGCACCTACAGCTGTCACTTTCTAGCTGCCTCCAATTTTGATATTTGTGGAACACAAAAGTACACTAAAGTTTTGGCAAACAAAATTATTTGCCACCTATAAACCAGATGATCAACAAAAGTGAGGCTCTCATTCCAATATCAACCAGTGGTTAAGACAGTGTATTTACTTTGGCACATTCATACACAAAGCATCTTATAACTTGCCCCAAGAAAGCTACGATAGATCTCTTCTCTCAGCACCATTGCTGTTGTGACCAAGGATCATAGTTGAATTTATCATGAATAAATCTTAAGCAGACCAGATGATGAATCTAACAGTCCCAGTTGAAAGAGGAAGCGATTCCAAGGAGATTTAGAGAACCAATTTGTGTATGGTTTATTGATGTAATATTTTTCTAGTTGTGAGCTCAATTAATAAAGGGTTGGGTTCATTAATTGCAAATTGTAAGGTTGAAATCAAAATCAGATTAACATTTGTTGTTGGGACTCATTTCTGGTGATACAGTACTTTATGTTATGCCTAACTACTGATTATGCAGATTAAAATCATGCAGCTTTCTATAATTTATTCTTCATGCAGCAATTAACATATTCCCTTGGAAAATTTGGGCAGTTTTTTCTGGAAGATAAACATCCCTCCCTCCCTCCACCCCCACAACAATTTATTTGTTGTTAAGTCATTGGTCCATGAACATTTTATTTGTATTCCAAATATATTATGAACATTGATCAATTTTCAATTTCCTAAGGATATCCTGTGTGTCCTGCTTTTTCTGTGGGGGAAAAAAACCCTGTATTTTTTTGAGAGTTCAAAACATAATTTAGTATCTGAAAAAAGAACCAAACCTCCCATACATAACCTATTTGTTACCAGATTAATTACAGTTGGAAATGTCTCTTTCTAAATGTTTCTTGTATTAGATATATTTAGCAAAAAAAAAAGTACATAACTCACTTGTATGCTAAATGCTTAGTTTTGATTTTTAATGCATTTAAAGTAAATCCACTGCAAACTGTACATCCTACTATTATATAGTATAAAAGAACACATCTAACCAGGAGCTGAGCAGCAAGTGGAGATCTTCTATCATAAGGAAAGTCTGATTCATTATGGCTAGCAATTACATTACAGGTAGGGAAGAGACATGTGGGTGGGGTGTATAAACAATATTTTCAAATATGTCCATGGTTTCTTTCACAACTACTTTGTTCTCCTAATTTGATGCTTTTGCTGAAATGCTCATTACAAATGATTTTGATACCATTGAAGTGAGAAAGAGGTTCTTTTTCTTTCTGGAGTGGTTCTTACAGGTATTCTCAACTAACAACTTTCAAATAGTGCTGCTTCCTGCAGTTCTTACAGATGATCTGATAGTAGCTAAAGTTATTATTTTGGTTGTTTTTATTGAAAGTACAGTCATAGATCAAATTTTGTGGCCAGCACGTTTACAGCTCTTCTCTATTTTGCTTAGTATATGCTTTATCTTTGAAGAAAATTCACAGGTGTAGCTTCAAGCTTATAGATGACAATGATCATAATATCAAATGACAATCATTCATGTGTGATTTGATACTGATATATGTAGGCGTCTAATACAAAAATACAGTACTATACAAATTATCACCTGAATTCTGATTCTAAATTTCCAGATGCCAGCAAAAGCCTTGAGAGCATGCATTGTCTGAATCTTGACACCCATGTCTGAATCATCCAGGAATGAGGCCACAAGTTTAATATCCTCATAAGTACATGCAGATGCCTGGGGAAACAAATCAGAATTAATGTGTGTAGATGCATGTATGGCTAAGTTAAAACAAAGCATAAGAAAGTATCTTCAATTCCATGCAATACTTTGTAACTTTTCACATTCAAATAATGACTCAAACTTTTTTATTTTAAAAGATGTGAAGTAACCAGTTATTTATTTCTTATTTCCTATTTATTCCTGGCTATTCTGATTTCCAAAGTCAAACACATCAGAGCAGCTATCATGAGATTAAAAAAAAAGATCCCAAGGAACAGTACAATATAAGACAGACTTATAAAGAATCCAAAACTTGTAAGAGAAGGAGTCAAACAAATTAAGGAACATATGTCTGAAGCTTGCCAACTAAATTTATTTATTTTATTATGTTAGTATGATAGCTGTGAAATAAATTTCTTGAAGTAGGGAGTTCAAGAAGTGGGGAGCACATGCAGCAAACAATAATGTGCCTTCATATTGCTGTTTGGTTTAATTATGCTTAACTGTGTCAGTTTAAAAAACACACTACCAACTGGCTCATTCTTCCATCCTTGTACTGTACATCTTATTATTCTGGACTCTCACCTCTGATTCCAGTAGATAAACACAACGGGTGATTCCATGGAGCATCATATTCTTGGAGTAAGCATCTAGCTTTGGGTTGAGAGAGAGCAAAAGTCTTCTGAGTTCTCCAGAGTCCACCACAGGTTTACTCTGGTGAGCTAAAGCAAGTTCTAAGAGTGAAAAGGAGAGTAGAGTAGAAGGAAGACAAAAATGAGAAGTGATCAGGGAACTTAAGTGAATGGAACTGAATGAAGTATAGATGAGACTCAGTAAAACTGGTGATATATTTTGACCAGCTTTCTCCAACGTGGTGTCCTCCCAATATGTTGGGTTACATAATTTCTAAGCAGCAGAATGAAGCAGATTCCTTCAGAGTAATGGGCAGAATTAAGATAAAATCAACACTTCACACAACATGCTGAAGCATCTTGAACATAGTTTATTAAATAAACAACAATAAGTTATGTTTACATGTCATGAAGAATAGTTTCTAACCCATGATTCTAACATTATGTATGTCATGAACTAATGTTGTTTAGATAACAAAATATGAAGAACTAGACCATGGCCTAATGTAATATGTGTTGAGGTAATTCCCCATTAGGAGAATGAGCGCACACAGGGAGACGTAGTGAGAGTGGTGAAGAATAACACACAACCAGCACACAGATACACTGTATAGTAAAATGTAGGTTTTTACTTCCAATAAAACCGTTAAGCAAAGTTCAACAAAACAGTCCAAGTCATTCACAGTTAAAGCAGTCAGTTTTCAGTCCAGGGATAATCCAATAACAAAGTCCAGTATCAAAAACAGTTCAGTAAAAGACACATCAAATCAAGAATAATGATGATCAGCAACAGTCAATAGGAAATGCAGGAATGGCAACACGCAGCAACAACAGAACAACCCAGGTTTCTGGCTCCATTTTATGGCCATTTGAGGAATCACACTCAATTACAATTTTAGCATTCCCTTAAAGAGGCAGTATTAAAATGTCTATCCTGGTTTATATATTTTCCAACCCAACTGTTAGATGACTTACATTCCTAACAATATGTAACCTCTGAGAGGATCATTGTTATAAAAGAAACCATGTTGCTGTCTTTTAAAGGTCAAATATATTAACGTTCTCTGTCCAATCTGGTAGTATTCAAATGGATTAGACTGCACCTTCAGAGAACAGTGTAGGTAGATGACCAGCCTGAGCTTGAGGAAGGGTCAAACACATCATTAGTTTGGAGTCCCTTCATGACCACAAGGGATCTTAATTCTTGCCCTTCTGTTGACTCTTATCTACCACCAATTTGCCTGACTTTTAATAGTTCAGATTCTTGTTTAGAGGTAGCATGGAACAAATTTGTACTCATTTGAAAAACCCTGGTCCCTGATTCCTTGTGCCTGGCACATGGACATTGATCATGGGCTATCTGGAGATGGTTATATATACATCTGGGGTCAATTTGATTGAGAAAGACTGATATAGATGTGATTCAGTTGTTCTAACATCTATAGTTATAACAATCTTTGAAAGGCTAGTGCTTGTCCCACCTGAAAACCACCATGGATCCGCTGTTAGATCCCATGCAGTTTGCATACCGAGCAAATAGATCGACAGATGATGCTATTAATATGGCTCTGCACTACATCCTACAACACCTTGAATCTCCAAATAGCTATGCACTTGTAAGTGGATCATAAGCTTCCTAACAAACAGGAAGCAGCAGGTAAAGCTAGGCAGAATCATATCTGATACCTGTACAATTAGCACAGCCCCCCCCTCCAAGGCTGTCTGCTTTCTCCACTTCTCCCTATATACCTGTTAGGAATGTAAGTCACCTAACAGTTGGGTTGGAAAATATATAAACCAGGATAGACATTTTAATACTGTCTCTTTAAGGGAATGCTAAAATTGTAATTGGGTGTTGTACAGGTAGTCCTCAACTTACAACAGTTCATTTAGTAACTGTTCAAAGTTACAATAGCACTGAAAAAAGCAACTTGTGACCATTTTTCATAGTTACGACCTTTGCAGCATCCCCATGATCACATGATCAAAATTCAGATTCTTGGCAACTGGTTCCTATTTATGACCGTTGCTATGTCCTGAGGTCATGTAGATCACCCTTGGAATCTTCTGACAAGCAAAGTCAGTGGAAAAACCAGAATCACTTAATAAATGGGTACTAACTTATCAACTGCAGTGATTCACTTAACAACTGAGGCAAGATGGCTCTTAAAAGGGGGCAAAACTCACTTAACAAATGTCTCACAACACAAATTTTCAGCTCAATTGTCATAAGTTGAGGACTACCTGTATAGGGAAAGGGAAAGGCCTACATTGAGTGAATTTTTGGCAGATCATCCAAAAAATCAATTTTACGTCTGATTCATACCACATGGTATCACACCTCAAGTGGCTTGGCAAAGTTTGATACTATTTGAAGCACAATCATAGGTTCTAGTGATTGGTAGCTGACAGTTAAACCAAGGTTTCAGAGAAACTCCCATGTAAATAAATAACTCTTATCACAACCACTTCTGAAATGGAAAGCAAAATACATTGATATCTCCCTGAATCCATATTACTCACTGGCTAAGGGAAGAGGCTCTGGATTATGAGGTGGACTCTTGATCCCTTCGATGATGGTCTTGGCCACCAGGAAAATAGCCCCAGCTCCTGTAGCAGCAGACACCATGTTTCTTGTTGTTACCAACTCTAAATACTTCATTTCCTCTTCTTGAATTCCCAGGGATCCAGATTCAGCCTAGGCCCTGACCTTCCACAGATCCTTAAATAGGAAAGGTTAGATGGATCATGCATGGTTTATGACATCACCAGGTTCCATCATGACATCTACAATACATCATGAAAGTAATGAAAAAGGAACAAGAATATTTTTCTTTTTAAATGTTGTCTATACTCTTCCTTTTAAGGAAGAGATATTGGATAAGACTGTGAAGAACCGCTAATAATAAGTATGCGGATTATCTATCATCTGGTTTCCATGCTAAACTTAGAATTGTACTGGTTAGAAATTAATAATATACTGTATATTCCATTTGATTTGCTTTGGACATGAAATGTTAACTTTTGAATTAATGGTATGACTTTTAAGAACCTTCATAAGGCAATCAGTGTGATAAAAATATGTATTGCAACTCCAGTGTAAGTCTGTCAACATTAGAACATCTAGCCAGCGCAAACTTTGGGCAAATTAATTGGTTTACTACAAATCCCTTAAATCTCACTGCACTTGTGCAGCTCCTCATGCAATCCATTGAAAAAAAATCACTTCCATAATAATATATGTGGAGTTTAAGTTATAGGCGCATACCTACAATTTGGAAGACACTGGCCCATACTTTCTGACTTCCATTTTAGTCCTTTCATAAACCTACACCTTCAGTTCCATGCATTGATTCATCATCTTCACGCCATCATACCATTTTTATTCAGATATACTGCATCTCTCTACTTGATGTTAGTTTTAAAATCATACAATAGTCTTACAAAGTATTTTGTGCTCTCTCTGGGACTAAGTGCACAGAACTTTGGCAACTCTGTGCAAAGTCAACTTAGATGTAGCCTGTTTTCCTGAACAAGTGGTCAAAGAAAGAAGGAAAATGTGTGAATTTTCAAAAACAGCAGCTGCTTTCTTGAGATTGAATCCTCCAAATATGTTAGATTGCAGACTGAGAAGTTATAATCCGATACAGTATGTTCACATAATGCCAACCTGGAAATGCTGAGCAGTACACGTGGAACAGGAGCTCTTCATAATGATGGTTAGTTCTTCGTAACAATCCTTTTTTTTCAGTCCGTTGAATAACCTCATAGAATCCCAAATGGGAGGCTTTCCGCAATACAGAGAGAAAATATCTGACTAACTGCTAACACAACTACAGATGAACAAAGCCTAATTAGAAAAGAGAGCCCCAAACCCCATGGTTGTCTACTCATTTAGCTACCAGAAACATTGCCTTACTTGTTAAGGATGATCTCTTGATGTCATGCATTTAACCTCAAGAGGGTGCACTTGTTCAGAGTTAGAAATGAGAGTAGTCTTATAGAGGCGGCTGCTAGATAGGTTTGGTTGCTGTGGGCTCTATCAATCAAGAGGTACCTCAAACCGTTACTGAAGGAATATGAAAAATAATGCAAACACCGCAACATTAATGTAAACAGGTGCCTCTAGCTTGCTCTGTTCAGACCATCTGGCTTGCTGGCACCAGGGCTAGAAGATATGTAGACCTGGTTGTGGAAAATGCTGCCAAATATTTCCAGATGCCTTTTGGGGAGGAGAGCTCCATATGTTTATATTTGTAGAACAAGACAGTTGTAATATATACATGAACTCCATCCTCCAAGCTTTAGGCTTTGAGCCTAAAACTGTTTCTCTTTTCTCTAATGCAAGTGTGAAAGATTATCTTGCCTAAATTGTAAAGTTGCAACATCATCTGTGTGGTCTATTTTACTTTTCTTTTTAGGAACTTTTTTTCATCTCAAGTGACATCTATATCACAAGGGAGGTTTAAGTCCATTTTGATATATGTTAAATCTTGCACAATGGTAGCTCAGGCTTTCTATTGACCAGCATATACATGGCACAGAACCTGGTTACTTGAACAACTGCTTGTCTCCCATAGCATTTCCCCAGCCAATTTGATTCTCCAGTATTGGTACATGTTGGGTTCTTTGATTAAACAATGCCATTTATTAGGATCCCTGAAGTGGAGTTTCCTGGAGCAGTGCCTCTGGCATCTTCACCCATGTCTTTGGCAGGGGAGAGTGAAACCCCTCACTTCATTCTGTCTGGTCTGTTGTGCAAAGCAGAAGCGGAAGCGAATCAACTGTGATCCACAAACCAATAGTAATGCATGCAAAGGGTCATTCCAGTAATGCACAGAAGTACAGTATTCATCTCACTTTAAAGAAGTAGTTACTTTAGATCAATGTTTCTCAACTTTGACACTTTAAGATGTGTGGACTTCAACTGCCAGAATTCCCCAGCCAGCACATTGCCCTAATAATTAATTAATCACCATCATCATCATTGACCAAATGGAGTGAAGGAACCCAGTTACAGAAACTCATGTGGTCACCTGCACATTTTTTGCACTAAACAGTTGAAAAAGAGATTTTAAAAAATAAAACAAAGCACTTGTCAACTCAGTTGCTCTCTAGCAAGACTTAGAATGTAGGGAAGGTTCACCTTAGAAGTGATATGGAAAATAAATTGTATGAAAATGAATGGAAGATAAAGAGGCAATAATTTGCATGCCAGACCAACTGGCAACATGCTATTTAATCCAGTGCAGGTTTTCGCCCTTTACAGATTACTTCTTAGTTCAAATCACCTGAAAAACCTCCTGGTCCAAGAGCACCATAAAAAGAAAGCTAACCACTGAAATACAGAGCTGAAATTCCTGTAATCATTTGCAGGAATGACCCTGGGAGACAGAGAAAGAGTAGCAGTTAGACAGCCATCATGCCAAAGGTCACAGAAGGAAAAGGGGTGTGGGAAGTATTTCAGAAAAGACTCTTGCTAGTTTTCTGGGGGAAAAAATAAAGAAGGAAAGATTTGTAAAATTATGTTACTGTAATCTTACAATAAAGTAGGATTAGTTCATTTGGGTGTGCCGATTGCCTGGACTACCTAGAAATTTCTCCCCTCGTTATAGGAACTGTAGGCTGAAGCATCCTCAGCAAAAATCTGCCTTGCCTGTACATGATGAAGACTTCATGCGTATATTTGAGACTTTAATATTTGTGGTACAGTACTGAGTTGCTGTGCTCTTCATGTTATTCTAAGTAGCTCTGGCATACGGTGGGCAACTTTTACTCCCAAACCTGAAAAAGCCATTTTCCTCTCTTCATCCTGTTCTTTTGGTGTCTTCACAGCTTCTCTTTTTAGAGAAAGAAACCAAAAAATGTTGAGAAATCCCTCTTACTCAATGGCTCTTCTGTTGTGTTTCATATGCCACAACTCAAACTCCTGATAAAGTGCTCTGTAATTAAATCCTTGTTCCTCCTAATAGATTTAAGTGGGGGTGGGGTGGATGCGGGCTTCCTCTTGAAAGGATCGATCTGCTTTCACTGATGAAAGAACTTGGGAGTGGGAAAGATCTACTGCTTTTTCATTTTGCCTTTTGGGAGAGAAGGAAGCAAGGCTCGGCCTTAAAAGACTATCTCCTGTGTGGAGTTTGATTAATTTCAGGGTTAAATTGCTTTCTCTGTCTTCCAGCCCAGCCAATCATCTCTGTAAGCATCGTTCCTCCGTTCTTATTGATGGAATAATAATCGTGGATATGGATAGAGCAGAGCTAAAGCCAGAATGCCAGGATGGCACACGAAGTGATCAGCTATCACAGTCCAGGTGGCATGAAATGGATGACTAGACTATTTTCAAGCTGCCCTTTTGCATATCATTGCACAAGTTAAAAATTCTTCTCCAGGGCAACTGTTTTATTTTACATGAAGGGAAAATGACATTTATTTTCCTAGACAGACACGATAGTGCTGAAGGTTTTCAGTGTGCTCGTTTCGAAGACTCAGAACAATCACTTTGCCTTTACCACTTGCAGCATCAAAACCTGATATCAGCATGTTTCATATTCATCACCCAGAAGATCACTTTGCATATATTATTTTGAAAAAAAAAGTTTTTCTGTAGCTAATGATGATGATATAACACCATCCAGGAAATGCTTCCTTTGAAATGCCTTTCAAAGGAAATATATTTATAACTCTCTTAGGCTGGTGGGGTTTTATTCAGAATTGCTTAATACATTTAAACTCATTTTGAGAACGTGATACTTATTTTGTTTTAAAGCAGGGCTGTCAAACTCACAGCCCACGGGCTGGATTGCATCATGTGCTGGCCACACCTACACCTGGTTTAGCAAAGGGGAAAAAAAATGTCACGATATGTCATGTGGCACCACCATGATGACATGAGTTCGAAACTCCTATTTTAAAGGATCAAAATGAGAGACTTTACAGTGAGTATGAATTCCTATGGATTAGTTCAGCCTTGCCACAACTTAAAACCAGGGGTGGGATTCAATTTTTTAAACAACCAGTTCTGTGGGCGTGGCTTAGTTGGTGGCTGTGGCTTGGTGGTAATGTGACTGGCTGGGCATGGCCAACTCAACATCACTCACATCGAGGCACGCATCTCCTCGCCTGGTCTCTCATGACTGTGGGGATGCTGCAATAGTCATAAGTGTGAAAAATGGTTATAAGTCACTTTTTTTCAGTGCTGTTGTAACTTTGAATGGTCACTCTACACAAGCAAAGTACCAGCAAAGGAGGGGGAAAAAAGTTCCAGAGACAGGAAGTCTAGTCCTACCAAGAATGTAAAAAGGGTTAATGGAGAGGCAGTTTCTGTAAGCAACACCAGAATGTTTCCTTCCTGCCTTACAGGATTAGGCCAGTAATTTCCTCTAACCACCAGTTCTCCGAACTGCTTAGAATGTTAACAACTGGTTCTAGCGAATGGGTGTGAACCTGTAGAATCTCACCCCTGCTTAAGACTGCCTTCATCCATGATTCATTGCTTGTGAAGTCCTGGACAAATCTCAGGGGTTGCATGAGAAGGCTTTAGAAGAGATATTGGCCTAGGTGGGCATGGAATGCCAGGAAGAGTCAAATGGTGCTTTTCCCAACTAACACATTTTATTAAAAAACACAACTTTCATCAATTGCAGCTCAGTTCATTAGATGTAC